CACCCCCTTTCCCTGTGTCTCTTCCTCCCCCTTTCCCTGTGTCTCTCCCTCCTCCCCATCTCTCTCCCTCCCCCCTTTCCCTGTGTCTCTACCCTCCTCCCCCCTTTCCCTGTGTCTCTCCCCATCTCTCTCCCTCCCCCTTTCCCTGTGTCTCTCCCCATCTCTCTCCTTTCCCCCTTTCCCCGTGTCTCTCCCATCTCCCTCCCTCCTTTCCCTGTGTCTCTCCCCTTTCCCTCCCTCCTTTCCCTGTGTCTCTCCTTTCCCCTCCCCCTTTCCCTGTGTCTCTCCCTCTATCTCCCCCTTTTCCCTGTGTCTCTCCCCCCTCCTCCCCATCTCTATCCCTCCCCTTTCCTGTCTCTCCCATCTCCCCCTTCCTGTGTCTCTCCCCTCCTCCCCATCATTCTCCCTCCCCCTTTTCTCCCCTCTCCCCATCTCTCTCCATCCCCCTTTCCCGGTGTCTCTCCCTCATCTCTCCCCTTCCTGTGTCTCTCCCCTCCTCCCATCTCTCTCCCCTTTCCTGTGTCTCCCCTCCTCTCCCCATCTCTCTCCCTCCCACTTTCCCTGTGTCTCTCCCCATCTCTCTCCCTCCCCCCTTTCCCTGTGTCTCTCCCTCCTCCCTCTATTCCCCTCTCCCCCCACCCCCCCTTTACCTGGAGAAGTCAGGGGGCCGGCCGCGTTCCTGTGCCGGGAACCGCGAGGGAGCATGGTACAGAGACATGCTCCTCCTCCATCAGCCACAGCAGTGAGCAGGGGAGGGCTGGCAGCCTTAGGCCTGGGGGGCAAAACCAGTCACAGGGAGTGGAGTGTGTAGGGGATATGTTATGTGTTATTGTAGAGGATCTAATATGTGTGCTTATGTTATGTAGTGTATAGGGTTACTAGTTTGTGCAGGTGATGTAGTGTGTTTGTGTGTAGTGGAAGCAGTGTGTATTTGTGTATAAGGGATGTATTATGTGTTTCTGGTTGTGTGTAAGGGATGCATTGTGTGAATCTGTGTTTGTATGCATAAGGGATGCAAGGTGTGTCTGTATGTGTGTGCATGAGATGCATTGTGTTTCTGTGTGTATGTAAGAAAAGAAGTGTGTGTGTTTGCATGTGTGTGTACGGGTTTGCATTGTCTGTTTCTGTGTATGTGTGCAAAGGATGCATTGTCTTTGTGTGTAAGGGTTGCATTGTGTGTGTGTGTGTGTAATGGATGCATTGTGTGTTTCTCTGTGTGTAAGGGAAGCATGTTGTGTTTCTGTATATGTATAGGGATGCATTGTGTGTGTGTGTGTGCGCGTGGTGTGGAAAGAGCTCCCTGTCTTGGCCCCTGTCCTATAGAGCTGCCCCTTCTGTCCCGTAGAGCTCTCCCCTGCACCTTAGTGGTCTCTCCTCTCCCCACCCTCCCCTAGCGGTCTCTTCTCACACTCACCCACCCTCCCTGTGCTCTTCTCATCCCCCCCTCCACCCTCCCTGTGTTCTTCTCACTCCTCCCTCTATGTGTTCTCCTCACACCCCCTGTGTTCGTCTTACCCCCCTCCTCCCTGTGTTCTTCTTACTTCCCCCCTTGGTCGTCTTACTCCCCCACCTGTTCTTCTTACTCCCCCACCTGTTCTTCTTACCCCCCTGTCTTCTTACCCCCCCTTCTTCTTCTTACCCCCCCTTCTTCTTCTTCTTCCTCCCCCCTTCTTCTTCTTACTCCCCCTCTTCTTCTTACTCCCCCTCTTCTTCTTACTCCCCCACTCTTTTCTTACTCACCCCTTCTTCTTCTTACCCCCTCTTTTTCTTATCTCCCCTCCTTCTTACTCCCCCCTCCCCTCTTCTTCTTATTCCCCCTCCCCTCTTCTTACCCCCTCCTCTCTTCTTATTCCTCTTTTTCTTACCCCCTTCTTCTTCTTCCCCCCTCCCCTCTTTTTATTCCCCTCCTCCCCTCTTCTTGTTCCCCCCTCCCTCTTCTTATTCCCCTCTTTTTATTCCCCCCTCCCTCTTTTTATTCCCTCCTCCTCTTCTTATTCCCCTCCTCCCCTCTTCTTATCCCCCCTTCTAATCCCCTCCTCTTCTTATTCCCCTCCCTCCCCTCTTCTTACTCCCTCCCCCCCCTCTCTTCTTACCCCCTCCCCTGTAGCGTGGCCGAGCTGCACTCCGGTCTGCGGTGGCCGGCCGGACTGATAGGAAGGTGGACACTGAGTGTGCACTTCCTGTCAGTCCGGCCGGTTACAGGAAACAGAAACTCAGCGCGGAACAGGAGTTTCTGTTTCCTGTAACCGGCCGGAGTGATAGGAAGGTGCACACTGAGTGTCCACCTTCCTATCAGTCCGGCCGGCCACGGACCGGAGTGCAGCTCGGCCACGCTACAGGGGAGAAGCTGCAGCCGCCTGAGGCTCTTAACAGAGCGCTCAGGCGGCTGCAGTATTTAAAGGGCCGGCCCAGGAACGCGGCCGGCCCCCAGGTGCCGCAGCCCACCAGGAAATTTCCCGGTATCCCGGTGGGCCAGTCCGGCCCTGGTTCCGGGCATCCCCAAGATGACCCAAAAAGAATCAAGCCGGGTCTGCCGGAGTGTCCCACAAGGACGGAGCCATGTGACAGACCCATCTGTCTTTAAAATACTTTTATTCCTCCTTGGTTCATCTGTTTGATCGTCTAATTGACGGTCCGTACATCCCTTTTGTTTATTTATCCTGTTACCGAACGAACTGCTGAACGGCCGGCCACCCAGCATGGAAGTGTGCTGCTGGTTAACCTTTTGGCCCCATGAGATTAACCGCAGACACCTCTTAATTGGCGAGGGTAGACTGGGTGGTCGTCGTTCGTATGCCGACCAAGAGGCGGCGGCCATCTTGGATGTACGAATGCCCAGCGGTGTTCGTCGACGATTTCATGGAACTAAAAAAATGGACACTATTTCTCACGAACACCGCTGAAGCCGCCGACCTCCCTTCTTCTGATCATTCAGCATACGAACGCCGGCCCGTTCTTTTCTGCACAAATGGATTTACACCAGATAGCTATGCCATGGAGCCCATTCGTATAACGAAAGACTATGTGAAAGACTTTGGCTCCATGGCGATTGAATTGTATGAATGTGATCTGAGCGCCATTCAGTAATAATGTGCGCTCAAATCTAAGCTATCTGGGGATACGTTAATTGTACCTAGTGCATTTGGTAGTTTACAAGTTATATATTTTTGTGTATTTTTATTGTCATGCCTAAAATGGAGTTTTTGACTCTGTCCTTGGAGATAATTGGATTACTTCCCAATTATCTCCAGGATAGAGAAGAGGGATCATAATGCATTGTGGGAATGTTTAACTGTACATGTCCGTGATTGGTCACTTTACTATTCTTGTCACAGTCTTCCACCAGGTCCCCTAGGGGAGTGTCCACCTGTCCACCTGGTGGAAGACCTGCATAAATACCGGGCAGGTAGTCCACATTAAATCAGATTCCTGCTTAACCCTCAATACTGAGCTTTGTCTCGTCATTGGGGGGATTTATATTTGTATGATTTCCTGTTCAGCTATTTGGATCGTGGAATATTTAGTATGTTTCCAGTTCGGCTAATTGGAGCTTTCGTTAGCTTCTTCTCTCTTCGGAAGGCGAACGTCCTTAGCGGTATTAAGCCCTCTAATCCCTGGGTGTACCATAACAAGTTCCCTGAACTGTCAGCGGTATGTCTCGGGTGTAATGGCATCCATTTTTAGTAAAGTGTCCTTAACCACCGAGTACTGTTTAATCTCTGTGACAAAGTGCCCTTCACCACTTCTGCCTGGAGAGGACTAATTGCCAGCCTCTTGCCTTGTGATTATGGTCCCTGGGAGATTTGGCCCTTTAAAATTGTTATTTGGGCTTATGGACTTTTATTTCACTGCTTCTGGCCCTTTAAATACTATGGGGAAGGATTGGTACTTTTTATATGGCACTTCGGATGCAGCCGAAGTAGTTGAAGTGGCCGCCATTCGAAAAATAAACACGTGGTGGCAGCCATTTTAATTTAGCCGAACGCTGTCAGCTGTGTTTTGCCGTCGAGTTCATGGAACTGAATCGGCTACTCAACGGCACGAACACTGCTGAAGTGTTACCTTCCCTGGAACTATCCCATCAAATGGAGTCAAACAACGTTCGACCATTTGAACGTCACAGTAAAATTACCTATTTGCATGAACGGCCGCCGTTCGTGCATTCGAATGGCATTTGAACTGTAATGAATAGCCCGGCCGCACAGCTCAAATCTCTGGAACTGTTTTGGGCATGAAAATGTGCTTGCGGTCGGTCAAAAAGAGACTTCCAGCAAACTCCCGAACGGCTGAACGGATTCAAATGAAATATGGATATGTTTGTTCCCTAGTTATGCCGTTTCTAAAAATGTAAGTCTTATGTGAATATGATGTGTAATTTTAATGTTATAAAAGTTGTGTAAAAAGTGTATTATTCGCTTGGAGATAATTGAGCTGATACAGTAATTAGCCCAATTATCTCCCAAGCAGAGGGGAGGTTTTTACTGTAATGAATAGGAGTGTTTAACTGTGCGTCCGTATATGATTGGTTGTTACGTTTGTGTTTTCAGTATCCACATGGATGGTAACCTTGTTGGAAAATTTTCAAATAAGAGCAATAAAGCCTCAGTGCATTCTGTTCCTGTTTGACCCTGTAACGGACCGTTTTGCACACAAGGGCTAAAAACCGTTTAGGCGATTGGCCCCCTTTCCAGAGATACAGGCACAGCTACTGCAGAACACCAAACTCCCGAACTGGATACAAAATAGCACTCCAACTCCCGAACTGGAACCTCCCAAATAGCTGCTAGCAGACGAACAGGAAAAGCAGATCAGCTTACACTCCTAGCAATCATTCTCTAACAGCATACAGTGAATCCCCCAAGAACGAGACAAGGCTCTGTGTTGAGGGTCAAGCAGTGGTCTGAGGTGCTGGCACACCCAGCCTGGTTTTTATTACAGTCTTGCAAATACAGGACCGCCCACAGGGAGGTATAAAACAACCAATCACATCACAGTTACATCCCACATATTCCCTCCCCTTATCCTGAGAGGAAACTCAATTACACATACAGTTAAAACATACTTTCTACCCAACTTTCATAACTCTAAAACCATACATCACATTCACATAAAATTACATATTCACAATCAATCCATTCAGGGGAACAACATATTAAAAAATGGCACGAATCAGACCAGGGGTTCAAAAGTTAGGGAAAAGTCCTTTGTGACTAAATGAAGCATGGCTTTCTGGCCCAAACCAGTTTCAGAGTCTTCTATCCTGGAGATAAGTAATTCAATTATCTCCCAGGACAGACACAAGACTCCATTAAGCACATGGTTGCAAAAGACACAAAACACTTTAAAATACATAAAGTCACCTTTTATACATAAAACACAGACATTTCACATATCCCCAGATAGCTCAGGTCTGAGCGCACATTATTAAGTGAATGGCGCTCAGACCACACAAATACAGTTTAATCGCCATGGAGCCAAAGTCTTTACAGTCAGTTTCATACAAATGGGCTCCATAGGATTCCTATCTGGGGTATAACACATTCAAACAAATCTACCGAACCCCAGGCAGAAAAGCACGAATTAAACTTTTCTGCAGGTAAAAAATATGTTTTTTAACAGGGGGCCATAGTCCAAAGGCAGCAGGCGAGCAACCAGGCTTCTCCAATGCAATGTGGCGAGATTGGTCTCGTCACAGACCCTCAATACGTAGTCTTGTCTCATGATTGGAGGGGAACTGCTATAATCACACTGGGGATTGCTATACTTTGTATACTTCCTTGAGCTCTAATCACTTAGCTCTTTTAAGAGCTGTTCCTGATACGATCTCCTGGAGGAGAGGTCTTTTCCACACGGTTCTGGAGGACAGAAGCTGATCCAGGGTGGAAGGAAGACAGCGAGACTCCAGTTAAGCTACTGTGGTTGTGGAGTCTGCGGTGTTTGTGGTGTCCAGTGTGGTGCTTGTGGTCCTCGGCGCAAGCTAGGAAGCGTCCATCAACAGAAGGTACTCGGTCGGAGTACGGGTGATTCCGTTACAGTGGTGGTAGAGGTGGGATGGCTGTCCAGATCCCCAACTACCCTCGCAGGGATGCCAGGATAAGGGGGTAAGTAATATCTCCCCTCCCAAGCCAAGTCCCAACCAGGCTACCCCAGCAGAAGCGCTGGCATTGGGGCCGAGCACAGCTGGCCTCTGCCCACCAAGCCCCCACAGTGTGTTGCCCCATTACACCAGAGGAATCATCAGGTGCAGTAACCGGTGTTGTGGGTGGGCTACTCTGGTACTTGCTTAGTGTGGGTGGGTGGATCAACTAACTTAGGCACTGACCGACAGAAGGTCAGGTGCCAGGCTAATCTCCCCTCAAAGGGGAGATGTGTGACAAAGTGCCTGGAGAGGACTAAGTGCCAGCCACTTGCCTTGTGACTATGGCCCCTGGGAGATTTGGCCCTTTAAAAATGTTATTTGGGCTTATGGACTTTTATTTCACTGCTTCTGCCCCTTTAAATATTATGGGGAGGGATTGTACTTTGTATATGGCACTTCGGATGCAGCCAAAGTGCCAAAGTAGTCGAAGTGGCCACCATTCGAAAAACCATTTTAATTTAGCCGAATGCTGTCAGCTGTGTTTTGCAGTCGAGTTCATGGAACTGAAATCTGCTACTCAAAAGCACAAACACCGCTGAAGTTTTACCTTCCCTGGAACTATGCCATTCGAATAAAGTTGAACGGTGAGACCATTCAAACGTCACAGTAACATTACCTATTTGCATGAACGGCCGCCGTTCGTGCACTTGAACGGCATTTGAACTGTACTGAATAGACCAGCTGCACAGCTCAAATCTCTGGAACTGTTTTGGGCATGAAAATGTGTGTGCGGTCGGTCAAAAAGACTTCCAGCTAACTCTCGAACGGCTGAACGGATTCAAATAAAATTTGGATATGTGTTCCCTAGTTATGCTGTTTCTAAAAAATTTAAGTCTTATGCGAATATGATGTGTTATTTAAAGTTATAAAAGTTGTGTAAAACGTATATTTTTGCTTGGAGATAATTGAGCTGATACAGTAATTAGCCCAATTATCTCCCAAGCAGAGGGTTGTTTTTTTTTACTGTAATGAGTGGGAGTGTCTAATTCTGTGTCTGTATATGATTGGTTGTTACATTTGTGTTTTCAGTATCCAACAAGGTCCATGTGGATGGTAACCTTGTTGGAAAATGTGTATATAAGAGCAATAAAGCCTCAGTGCATTCTGTTCCTGTTTGACCCTCAACACGTAGTTTTGTCTCATGATTGGAAGGGAACTGCTATAATCACACTGGGGATTGCTATACTTTGTATACTCCCTTGAGTTCTAATCACTCAGCTCTTTTAAGAGCTGTTCCTGATACGCTCTCCTGGAGGAGAGTTCTTTTCCACCCTGATCCAGGGTGGAAGGAAGACAGCGAGACTCCAGTTAAGCTACGGCGGTTGTGGAGTCTGCGGTGTTTGTGGTGTCCAGTGTGGTGCTTGTGGTCCTCGGCGCAGGCTAGGAAGCGTCCATCAACGGAAGGTACTCGGTCGGAGTACGGGGAGGTCCGTTACAAACAGTATTTCTGAAAAATTTGAAATTGTTAACTTTTCTGGCCAGCAGATAATTGAGTTTAGTATGTTTCCAAAACTCAATTATCTCGCTGGCTCAGAGGAGCAGTTTGATGCTTTAAATTGAATGCCCTTGCTTCCATTAAACCAGTCTTGTTCCAGCATTAAGCTTTGGCTCATGTGTGGATTATTATGCGACACCAGCGATATTTTACCCTGTGGATTACTGGCAATAATATTTTATGGGAATAAGGGAATGACAGACGGTAACACATATTCAGACCATCACAACTGTAAAATTCTCTATGCCTGGAGGTAATTGAGTTACTTCAAGCAATTAACCCAATTATCTCCAGGATAGAGAGGAGGAGTTGTACTGTTTGTGTGGGAGTGTTTGGATTCTGTAAATGTATGTGTCCCTTGCTGGAAGACCTGCATAAAAGGCTGACATGTAGCCCCCATTAAACATCCTGCTTGACCCTCAATACAGAGCCTCGTCTCGTACTTGGGGGGATAATTCGTATGATTTCTGTTCGGCGCTTAGGAGTGTTCAGTAGCTGACTTCACATTCGGGAAAAAGAACACCTTTGGCGACGTTAACCCCTTCACCTAGTCAGGGTGCTGTTACAGATAATAATCCCCATTTTTTTATATCTGGAGATAGTCTCAGACAAATGTCTTTTAATCTTTAGCTCTATAACACCTGTGTACGGTAGAGTTTTGCACTACTGTCTAAATGATACTCTTTAGCATTAAAAGTTACGTTTTAACAAACAAATTTAGAGGGTGCACGACAAACTTTCCATTGTATCACCCTAGTTTCCCATCACCAGTGGGGTACTCCACTCCTTTGAATACTCTACTTTAATCCAGGTACTCCAGACTCTCTCTATTCTTATTTAGAGGTAAGTTTCAATACCTATGCTTAGAAATTGCACTTTATGTACTTGTATGTACCCTATTTCATTTCCCGTTACCATTCGGGAGCCCTACTCCCAAGGATACTCTATCTTTATCCTGTTTCTACTGCTCTCCCTCTTTTCTTAGTGCATTATTAGTGAATATTCTTCACTAGGGGTTAACCCCCACTGAGGAGAAAAGTTATTTGGTACCGTTTCACCTTTTGATTTGCATAATATACAAACAGATGATCAAGGATGATTTCCTTCAATTCCCTTTCCCATTAGTCTGACACAGTTCCCTTATGCTCTGGAATTCCTCACCCTCAAATATAATTCGGTTTTAGCTGTCAGTGATTCTCCTGTGAAGAGGGGGCCCTAGAGTTTCCACATTCATTCCACCATGGGTGGCACATGCACTGCGTGCCACGCAGAGCATTGCCATAGCAACCCGTGGCAACGCTCTCACGGGTCACGAGAACAGAGGCCCTGCTAAAGGTGGAACAAATGTGGAGACTCCAGGGTCCCCAACTGCATATATATATATATATATATAAAAGACAAAAAGACCTTGCACTCCAATATATATTTTTAAATAGACCCGGTGCTCGATAGCACTAAATAGATTCAGGTCAACGTTACATGTTTGTATTCTGTCCTGATGAAAGTTCCCTAGTGGAACTGAAACGTTGACCGCTGGAATAAAGAAAAGTTTTTGATTTTTTGCAAAAATCCTGGGAGTGCTGATCTTTTGGCTGTATATATATATATATATATATATATATAATACACAATGTAACGGCACCCTCAGCATAAAAGAGTTAAACCGCTGTTTAGTAGATCTTCCCCTTCCAGAGATACAGGTACAGCTACTGCAGAACACCAAACTCCCGAACCGCATGCAAGGGAATGCTCCAAACTCCCGAACTGCATACAAAATAGCACTCCAAACTCCCTAACTGGAACCTCACGAATAGCTGCTAGCAGACCAATAGGAAAAGCACCCAAGTGGCTTACACTCCTAGCAATCAGTCTCTATCAGCATACAGTAAATCCCCCCAAGAACGAGACAGAGTTCCGTGTTGAGGGTCAAGCAGTGGTCTGGTTTAATGAGGGCTACCTGCCCAGTATTTATGCAGGTCTCCCACCTGGTGGACACTCCCCTAGGGGACCAAATGGGAGACTGTGACAAAGGACAGACGTGAACCAATGACAGACACACAGAGGTAAAACATCCCGACAATGCATCCTAACTTCCCTCCCTCTGTCCTGGGGATAATTGGGAACTAATCCAATTATCTCCCAGGACAGCGGCAAAACTCCATTAACCACATGGCAGTAAAAGACAGTAAAAGACATAAAAATGTATAAAGTTACAACTGCTGCACAAAACATTTACATTCTACCTATCCCCAGATAGCTTAGATCTGAGTGCACAAAAGTACCGAATAGCGCTCAGATCCTATGCACACAGTCCAATCGCCGTGGAGTTAAAGTGTTCACAAAGTCTGTTCTCCATACGAATAGACTCCACGGGATGGCTATCTGGGGTAATGCTGTTCATACAGTTTAAACTACTGAATGAACAGGCATCCGGTTAAATTACCTAATGCAGAAGCAAGGAGGCTGACGGCTCAGCGGTGTTCGCGCAAATAAGTGTCCGTTTCTAGTTTCAAAGTGTTAGCGCTGAACACCACTGGCCGTTCGGGACTTTAAAATGGTCGCCACCACGTGTTCGGCAAATGAACAAAGGCCACCCAGCATTTGTCAATTAAGCTGTGGTTAACCGCAGCTT